ACACACACACACACACACACGCATAGTGTACATGTATGTTCTCATACATGGAGCACATGTATCTCTGCATCGTAAAGTAAATCAAACACCATTTGTGATCCTGATGCTCTGCGATAATGAACTGTATCTGTATAAGATTGTAATAATTTGATAATTTGGTTTGTGATGATCCAGAATATCGAACGTCAGGAACTGAACTCTGCACCTCCTCCGTATTTTCATGTGTCGTGTGTGAAAGCAAAAGTTCGAGCGAGAGGCTCCGCAGTTTCTGTGACTTTCTCCATGTGGCCAAAAGTGAAGCGAGAGCATCTGGATCGCCCCCTGGTGGCAGTAATATATATTCGCTGTGTCTCAATTCAGAGGCTGCATTATAAGACTGACTGGTCACTGTGGTGCAACCGGACTGTCCCATTACGAAGGCTCCTTCAGATGCGTCCATTTCTGAATAGCGGGTGGAAGTGGAGACTCATCCATCTTTATTTACACTCGATGGCTTCAACATTCAACTATAAATCTTTGTGCTTCTGATTGGCTGTTGAAGATAAGTCACTTTTGTCTGTTGTGGATTTCCTGTGTCGTCTGTTTTCAGACTCGTCCTCTCTGACGATCAGAAGAGACTGTTTGAGAAACTTTCCTTATACTGTGACAAGTACGCAGAGCAGATCCCCGTCACCTTCGTCCTGGGTACGTCTCACTATCTAACAAAGTAACACAAGGTCTGAACCCAGTTCTGCTGCACTCACATCCTCATTCACCAAACAGTTCATGAAAGAAGCTAAAATAAAGTTAGATTTCAGAACGGTAACTTGAGGGGAGGAACGCACCATTTTCCACTGCTATGACTGTTTATAAAGATGGACGACATGACAGCACCCAAGTGTTGGCCTACTGCTGCAGCTATAGGTCATAAACGCTGCCTCCTCCATGTTCGCAGATGGGACATGGTGTTTATTTAATTTAACAGTATTCACAAGCACAAAACCAGACTCATGAGCTGAGCATCGTTGGTCGAGCATGTGAATCGGTGCAAACTTGAACGATCACTACTGCACTGACTCTGACTCCAAAAGTCCAAGATGGCGGTGCCTGTATTCCAGATATTTGAGCTAGAAGTGGAGACGTGTTGACCATCTTTATTTACAGTCTGTGGTTCGGAGACAAAACCTTTGGTTCATACAAATTTCTCAATGCAGCTTTTAACTTTAACTTTTAATGTGAAGGAGGGAGGATATTCAGAACCTTCACCACTTACCAGAGGAAATAAAACCCTGACATTAAATCATCATCTTTCTTTGTGGTAAATTGAACCTGTGCTTTAAACACCTGCAGTTTGAACACAGTCTCCTTCCAGAGAGAATCAGGAGACTTCGATCTTTTGAACAGAGGTGAATTCAGAATAAAGGTTATGTGACTGAAAAACACGAAAACAGTGAAACTGAGATCCATAAAACACAGACTCACTGAAAACCTGAAACACAACTGAAACTCAGCGTCAGGCGTTGTGCCTGGGGATGAGGAGAGAGAGGCAGATGGAGCCTCATTAGCCGGCTGCTAATGGAAACAGATCATTAATGATCTGGCTAAAAGCAGGATGAGTGTTTTTGTTGCTGATCAGAGAATCAGTGAGAACAGCCTCATGTTTCCACAGTTTCCTCTTCGATAGAGGAGGTATGGTTGTTCTCTCTTGTGTGTCTTTGTTGAAGGTTTGCACTTCAAGTCGTTTAGATTCTTTAGTGACTTGGTAAATAAAGTGAATCTTTGTGTTGCAGGTTTTTATGTGACTCTGGTGGTGAATCGATGGTGGAACCAGTTTGTGAATCTGCCGTGGCCCGACAGACTGATGTTCCACATCTCCAGGTACTTTCACACAACTCTCACCATATATCTGAGACTTTGCAGAATGGTTCCAGTCTCACTGACATTTAGATTTTAAATCATGTCTCCTGATTTCTTTAGAATCAAACCAAATGGTGTGGAATGTGTCTGAGTGAACATGACAAACAGTTAAAGGGGAAAACAAAGAGCGTACTACACCGTTAATATCGCTGTGTTCCCTACAGCTGTGTTCAGGGTAAAGATGAATATGGCCGCCTCCTGCGCAGGACGTTGGTGCGTTACGTCAACTTAACGTCGCTCCTCATCTTCCGTTCCGTCAGCACCGCCGTCTGCAAACGATTCCCAACCATGGACCACGTGGTGGAGGCAGGTGAGCGACTGTTGAGTGTGTCTCTGTAACTTTCTGGTAATTTCACATCTTTTTGAGGTATTTAATACGTAATATATAATAAATGCTTCCCGGCTGCGTCTCTTCCTTCCTGTAACTGTCTGATGACGCCCCAGGGATCCACTGGAAATCAACCGATTAGAGCTGCAGGAGAAATGATGACCGGTCTCATCCTCTGTGCTCTGTTTGGAGTTAACGCCCTCAGTTATCAGGGCGGTCGACTCCTTTCCCATTGCCAGAGGAGTCTGTTTTTCACAAACACTGAAACCAGAAAACTTTCTCACCTCTGTGTTTTGCATGTTTCCATGACTGTTGTCGGTGCTGGAGCCGATAAAACCCTGAGTCTACTGCAGAGAGATGTGACCCCGGAGTGAATGAGGATTCTGTCACATTGCAGACCCAGATGTTATTGGGTTTTTTGACCAGTTTCAACAATCTGTCTTTCCACCTGTTTATCTGGACACCTGCAGGTTTTATGACTCCAGAGGAGAGAAAGGTTTTTGACAACATCCGCTCACCTCACCTGAAGTACTGGATTCCTATGGTCTGGTTCTCCAACCTGGCATCTAAAGCTCGACAAGAAGGACGCATCCAGGACAGCATCGACCTGCAGAATATTCTCAATGTAACAGACAAGATTACAATTAATCTTTTATTCTCTATGTCAAAGTATGCATGTATAGAAGTGAAGCTAACACACAAGCTACAAATATCTTTTCTTATTTTGACGATTTACAATGAAACCCGTTACGTTGGCACCATTTGTACTGGTCTCAAAACAGAGACTGTAAATAAAGATGGACGAAATGACTTCTCCCCAAATGTGAAGCTAAAGTGTGTTGATAACCCCCTGGTGGTTGGCTGCAGTATAGTATGTAAACCTGTGCCTCCTCCATCAGTCGAGGTTTGAGTCTGAAATGCAGAGATCTACTTGTGGCAGCTGTGCAGCAGGGACGTGTCCCACAGGGCACCAACATATCCTGTCAGAAAGAAAAAGCTTCTCGAGCACTCAAACCAAACACTTGCATCCTCTAAAGCCAAATTAGAGCCCGATCTCCGACAGCCTGTGAGTGTTCACGGTAGATTTTCAGGTAATGTGACACCCAGCTTACTCCCAAAGGGGAAGAGTGAGACTCTTTTTCCAATCAGCCTGTTGAGCTTCATTAATCTGGGAGAGGCAGCAGCTGGTGAAACATTAACCCTGTCCACGTTCTGTCTCCGCATTTAGGAGATGAATCTGTTCAGGACTTGGTGTGCGACTCTTTTCGGCTACGACTGGGTCGGCATCCCACTGGTCTACACACAGGTCTGTCTTATATCACGTTTGAAACAGATGCAGCTCATCTAATCATATCATCATCGTTACTGTAACTGAATCAGAGCAACAGAAATCTCCCACAGACAGAGAGAGAGAGAGAGAGAGAGAGTTTTACAGCCACTAAAATGGAAAAAATGTCAAAAAGCTGATATTTCCAATTTAGTTTGAAAACTCTGACGGGGTCAGACAGATGGTTTTGGTTTGAAAACACAAAGGTGACAACGAGGCTTCTATCTCCGTCTCTTTCTCATCAGGTCGTCACTCTTGCTGTCTACACCTTTTTCTTCGCTTGTCTAATTGGTCGACAGTTTCTCGACCCTACCCAGCGTTGCCCAGGTCACGACCTCGACCTCTACGTCCCCGTCTTCACCCTGTTGCAGTTTTTCTTCTACTCCGGCTGGCTGAAGGTGAGTTTACTTTGTCATCTACCAAAGAACTAAAATTCTCATTTCTCCATATTCCTTGTTCTGTGTCGGCTGCAATTTGTCACTCAGTCACACTCACACCTTGAGTCTGAATGTGTTGGACTTAGATAATTGAATCCAAATTGTTATAAATTTAGAGAAACATGATTGTACTTTGTAGATTTTGTGGGAACCTGAGCCTGAAATACTTATATAGGTAGGTATACAGTATATATTCCTCATTAACATGTGTGTACCTGTTCATACCAGTTAATGATATGAATGTGGTCGTTAGGTCGCAGAGCAGCTGATCAACCCATTTGGAGAGGATGACGACGACTTTGAAGCCAACTGGATCATCGACAGGAACCTTCAGGTTTGAAACCGTCACTGCACCGAAAATGAGTTTAACAAAAGAGATTGGTTTATCCAAGAGAAACCAAACCCCTGGAAAATGTGGAACAGAAATTATTAACGTTGTGACATATGGGACATCAACAAAGATTTTAAGAATAACTATTTCTCACTAATAAGACGCCTTGAACGTTACCTTAGAAGAAGTCGCTTAACAATGTGAAGTATTAAGAGAGTAGAACACCTGATGGGTCCCTCCTCCACACACCTTAGAAGTAAAACTTGCCAAAAACATCCACTCTGCTGCTGAGAGAAATCATTACACATAAAGTATGTAAATAACATCACATGAGTTATACCAACGTGTACCAACCGCGCACAGATACGGCAGGGATCTCCCACCTGTGCTCATCCAACCGACCCAGGAGGAAGAAGGTTTTATGATCGAGTGCTTTCAAACAGAGGTCAGGACACATCTTGCAAAGAGTCGGCTCAGCTCCCGTCGTGAGTTCTGGGCCTACACCTGCTTCTTCTTATCTGCAGCCCTGATTGATTTTGTACTTATCTTTCTGTGTACTTATATTTAATATCCTGACTTTGTAAAAGCAACAGGACGTCTCTCTGTCTCAGAAGCTGCTTCTCAGCACTGAACTGTGTCTTTTATTTTCACTGGAGGACGAAGTGGAGTCAGAAAACCATTTTCACTTTGAGGCTTAGATCTGAATAAATGTGATAAAAGAAATGATTTGGTGAATGAGAGGATTCAGTCTCTAGTACTCAGTACTAATACAAGATGTATTCACATGAATACTTTGCACCAGCACCTTGAAGTAAGTCCACGGCTCTATGTTGGTATTTAGTGTAGTACTCTGGATGATCGTTGTACTGTGACAGTGTGTCATGGAGCTTCTGATCACATGTTTAGCACATGGAGCTTCTGATCACATGTCTTCAACATGTTTGAAACTTCACATGTTTAAATTGTGTGTGTGTCCAAGAGAAGTAGTGTTTGTGGAGTGAGCATGAGCCGTGTGAGTGAAGGAAGTAGATGTGATGAGCTGACATCAAGTGAGCTGGTGACATGTCAGAGCTCCGTGTTGAAGACATGTCAGAGCTCCGTGTGCTTAACATGTGATCAGAAGCTCCGTGTGTTTGACATGTGATCAGAACATGGAGCAGCAGTTTGTCCGGATGTGACGTCGTGTTTGTTGTGTTTGGTGAACGTGAGCTCCAGGTGAGCGGTGACGTGGTGCGTGACTTGGAGGAGCAGGATCTTTAGGCAGCGGTGAGTGGCTCTTAAAAGAGCCGTTGTGTGGTGAGCGGGGTGCGGGCAGGTTAGGCTCTCTCGCCGCGGATGCGCCGGGCCAGCTGGATGTCTTTGGGCATGATGGTGACCCTCTTGGCGTGGATGGCGCAGAGGTTGGTGTCCTCGAAGAGCCCGACCAGATAAGCCTCGCTGGCCTCCTGCAGCGCCATGACGGCGGAGCTCTGGAAGCGCAGGTCGGTCTTGAAGTCCTGAGCGATCTCGCGGACGAGGCGCTGGAAGGGCAGCTTGCGGATGAGCAGCTCGGTGGACTTCTGGTAGCGGCGGATCTCTCGGAGAGCCACGGTCCCGGGCCGGTAGCGGTGAGGCTTCTTCAC